TATTATTCATTAGAGTGGCTATATGCCGGCAGGCCGGCACGCTATATCTGACGGATGCGGGCACGGTTCTTCGATTTCTAAAATGCCGGCATTTTTATTTTAGGCGTCTATCTCAGTAAACAAGGCTTAGAGTTAGGATTAGGGTTAGGGTTGAGGGTTTAGGGTTTAGGCTAGAGTTAGGGTTTTTGTTAGGTTTAGGTTAGCAGTTGAGAGTTTAGGGTTAGACTGCCGATGGTTAGTGAAAACGAAGACCGTGCGAGCCTGCCGGGCATTAGCCACAGGTATTATCATCTCCTGAATCGATTCTCGATCCTTCAGATGCATTGACCACTGTACCAATTTTTCTGTCTCGCCTATCCTAACTAGTCGTCCGCTGTAATGCAATTACAGATTTCAGCAGTGTGGTGGTGTGGTGTGTGTAATTTTAGCTAACTGAATACGAACTCGTTTGATAGAGCACTTACTTACGCTGACTTTTATTAATCACTGATGCATATAAGCCCGCGACCTGCTCTCGCCAAAGCTCATGGAATTGATTCTTATTGTTAACAACCTCGAAAATAACTCAGGTTAATTAAATCATGACATTCGCAGCGGCCGCTTGTGAATATATTCCCCTGCCCTGAGCGCAGCTGGCAGAGACTGTGACATTAAACAAACAAGTACGTTTTCAAACGCTACGTGTTACTTCTCAGTCGCTCTATAAGACAAACTAGCTGTCGCCAGTTCGAGATTTTGCTTTTCATTATTTACACTTTTTAGTTGCTTCTATACATTTCAATGATGAATTGATTACATAAGTTGTTGCATTGCAGACTGTTGTAAGTGAATGCTACATTACCGTTCGTTTCTGTTTCCTATTCTACGACAAACAACTTTAATAGCTTACTGACGTATCCTAATGAATATTCGTTGAGCTTCAGCAACGCACACACGACAGAATCTCGTTACATTTGTTGGAAAGCACGGCCTGTTTTGGCTCTTGTCAAAATATTCCTTTTTCCTCGTTAATTCGGATACGTTGGAAATCTAGACGACAATGTCACAGATGTTTGCGCAAAACCCCACCAAGGATTTCCGGTTCGTGTAAACTGTAGATAAGAAGCCTTGCGGAATAGTCGTCGATGCATTGCAAATTATGACTGTGACATATAAATATATGCCAACAAGGATACATTGACTGATGCTTAAATTTAAATGTTGTCGCTTGGTATTACGTGTTCTTTATGTGAAGTGAGAACACGTACGGTCAACTGTGCATTCACTCGTGTTGCAACAGCGTGCCGCGTCGCACCGTCTATGTTAGAATGGTCCAACTGGACGGCAAAGCGAGCATTTTCGCATTGGACTTAATATACTGAAAACCAAATTGCCCGTAGCTATGTAGTCTGAACAGATAAGAATCGTAGAAATGTTTAGTTCTATACAAAAGTGCTTTGCTGTATCTCGAATGCAATAACCAATATTTATTAATATACTAATTTTATTTTAGATATTAACAATAATTAATATAACGTCCTAACGAAATTCGATCGCCAACTAATTTTATGAAGTAGCTTCTATACTTTAGTGTTAGATTAAAGTTACTTATTCGCATCGGAATACATATCCCACTCATTCTGTCGTTCATATTTCTCAAATTCGGCCGTATTGCTTATCGTGGTTGCAATCATAATTGATATTCGTCGGTTGCATCAACTGTGATCTGAGTGTTATCAAGCATGGATATTCGTCACGAGCATTTACGAAAACGTGTATATTTACGCGCACAGCATGTTGTAGAAATTCCCCTCACCTCAATCCTCAGTATTAGGTTAAGGAGAACTAACCCTGTCATCAATTCTACACGCAAATATGTGGCGACAGTCATGTGCACGTATGTGGGCCGCTCGTTATGTGCCGTATGTGACCCGCGTCATGTGCTCGTCATGTTGCCGTCATGTGCCGGTCATGTGCCCGCGTCATGTGCTCGTATGTGCCGTCACTGTGCCCGCGTTATGTGCTCATAAGTGATCGTCAGCTGTGCCGTCAGTGTGCCGTCATTGCGCCGCGTTGCCTGCTGCGCTCTTAGTGCTCGTCAGTGTGCCGTTCTGTGCCGCGTGGATGTGGCCCGTATGTGCCGTCTGTGCCGTCATGTGCCGTCATGTGCCGTCATGTGCCGTCATGTGCCCGCGTTATGTGCCGTCATGTGCTCGTCATGTGCCGTCATGTGCCCGCGTTATGTGCCGTCATGTGCCCGCGTCATGTGCCGTCATGTGCCCGTCATGTGCTCGCACATTACGTATTCACACACCATGTGTCAAGATCCCATTACGTTTGCTGGCACCGAATAGCGGCCTGTCCATGCAATCGATGTCTGATCTCAACAAACACTTCTTTAAGGTAATCTCAAGCACAAGGTAATCTCAATCGAAGTAACCTGAAGAAAATTATGTGAGATTTGGTTAATATGACGTTAAATGGTTATAACCGTTACATGTTAAGTGTTAATGGTTAAAACGTCATATGGTTAATATAACGTGAATGGAGATGGTAAGAAGTGATTTTTCGCAAATGTCGTTTCTGGTTAAACTGCTATGCTACGTCAACGTTCATAAAAAAAAACCGGAACGTTGTGAGAAAGGTTGAAGTAATGGCTGTAATTGCTGCCACCTAAGCCTTCAAATCAGTGTCAAATTGAATCAAGTTTAAGAAAAAGATTTCAACGCGTTGCAGTATATGGCATATTATAGTCTATAGCAAATCTCCAGCTTCAGCTACACGCGCGTATGCTCGCTAAAATTGATGTTACTTGCACGGCCGATTCGTGATCCATTCGGGCGCAAGTATTCGCAACATGCGTCAGATAATAATGGTTGCTACGCTGGGGGGCATTTCGATATTTTAAAAACAAGGATATTTGACTATTGACAAGCTCACTTTTAACACAATGGGGGCGATCATTTTGGCAAAAATTCTATAGCAATACTGCAGGTTCTGTAAAAAAATCCTATCAAGCTAAGAAAATCAATATACCACCGAACGCACATAGATCGCTAATTACAGACATCTTACAAGTTATCACGTACACACGCGTGCATGTGCGTACGTAACTGAGTGTGTGCGCGTGTATATATATATATATGGTACCTAATTACGTAAGTCTATTAAGGTTACCTTTGTCGGCTATCAAGTTCGATATCGACGCGTTCATGACGTTTCTTTTATAGATGTCACGTGAATAGAACTATACTGGACAATATAATATAATACAATATAATAAAATATATATAATACAATATAAGAAGCAATCAAATAAAAGAAAGCTATGATATTACCTAGAAATGATGCGATTAACGCGTCTTCGAGCTGTGACTGTTGGTTTATTTCGTCTGTCCTGTAGATTTTTTGAAGATATATCCAACTGCAGCGATAGCATCGCCGTCACATTCGTTATTATCACTATTATCAAGAAGTTGTTTATATTTACAGCCCGTGACCATACATGCACAAACAAACGCATGATTAAAATCGACGGGTTTCCTCCTAGTTCGCATCCACGCCATAGATACACGCCCTCAATTTAGTCATTAGCGTGCTAAATATTAGGTTTAGGTCCGGTGCAATTTAAAAGATACAGGTAGGCCTACCTGCATTTTTGCCGCAGTTATCTTGTGCACTGATTATTGATTTTAACGGATTTAATGACGAGCGTGATTGTTCACTCAAACAATACAGTACACACGGAGGATGTTTGTAATTATCTGCATCATCGCAAAATCCGTCAGGTACGTACATTGATATGATCGTTGTATATTGTATTGCCTGGCGAACACGAACGTAAACACAGACACAGCTACGTACAGCCTTCTGCATGCTGCCAAACGCAGTTTATTTTCTCAGTATAAGCGGATGAAAAGTCGAGAACAAATTATCTGTTTTTGCCCATCTCGTAATGGTAAGTAATCCAATTTTGGACTATCCTACCGCGTAGAGACGCAGTCATTGTTTCTAGTATGTCCGCCGGTGGGAACACCTATACTATTGGGTAATATTGGGTAATATTACCCAATACTATTGGGTAAAAACCGTTAATAAACGTTGAGGCGTGTGAATAAACGGTAACAACCCGCAGCGTCGTGAATTATGTTCCTCTAAAATATCTACATCTATGTTTTATTTCACTTATATCCGCGTGCATCCGTATTTGCGCGCGTGGGCGAACGTGCGCTTCTGTCTACTCGTCACTGTGGCTCATAGGGTCTATGTCCCCCAGGGTACTGCCGGAACGTACCCTGAGTACGCCGGACCGTACCCTGGTAACTATTTGATATGGTTAGGGTTAGGGTTCGGGTTAGGGTTAGAGTTAGGGTTAAGAACTGCCGGGCATTTAGGAAAACGAAGACCGTGCCCGGCTGCCGGGCATATAGCCACAGCGTATTATCATCTCCTGAATCGATTCTCGATCCTCAGATGCATGACCTGTACCAATTTTTCTGTCTCGCCTATCCATAAACTATCGTCCCGCTGTAAGCCAATTACAGATTTCAGCACTTATAGTGGCAATTTAGATAACGAATACGAAACTCGTTTGAAAGCATATTACGCTGCACTTTATTAATCACTGATGCATATAAGCACCGCGACCTCTCTCGCAAACTCATGGAATTGATTCTTAATCTGTTAACAAACCCTCGCAAAATAACTCAGTTCATTAAATACATGACATTTGCAGGCCGCTGTGAATTATTCCCCTGCTGCGCAGCTGCAGAGATGTGACATTAAACAAACAAAAGTACCGTTTTCAACAGCTACGTGTTTCAACTTCTAGTCGCAATCTATAAACAAACTAGCTGTGCAGTTCGAGATCTGCTTTCTCATTATTTACACTTTTTAGGTTGCTCTAAATTTCAATGATGATTGATTACATAAGTGCTTGCATGCAGACTTGTTGTAAGTGAAAATCTACCATTACCGTTCGTTCTGCTTTCCTATTTAGACAAAAACTTTAAATAGCTTACCTGCGTATCCTAATGAAATTCGTTTGAGTATCAGCAACGCACACACGACAAGAAATCTCGTATACATTTTGAAAGCAGCGGCTGTTTGAGCTCTGTCAATATTCCTTTGCTGTGTAATATCGGAATACGTTGTGAAATCTAGACGACAATTCACAGATGTTGCGCAACAGTCGTTCGTGTAAACTGTAAGATAAGAAGCCTTGCGGAATATCGTCATGCAATTGCAAAATTATGATGTGACTATAACGATATATGCCAACAAGGATACCATTGACTGAGCTTAAAATAAATAGTTGTCGTTGCGTATTACGTTCTTTATGTGAGTGAGAACACGACGGTCAACTGTGCATTCACTCGCTTGCAACAGGTGCCGCGTCGCACCGTCTCTGTTGAATGGTCCACTGAACGCGCAAAGCGAGCATTTCGATTGGCTAAATACTGAAACCAAATTGCCACGTAGCTATGTAGTCTGACACAGATAGGATCGTGAAAATGTTTGTTCTATACAACAGTGCTGCTGTATCTCGAATGCAATAACAATATTTATTAATATACTAATTTTATTTTAGATATTAAACAATAATTAATATAAACGTCCTAACGAAATTCAATCGCAATAATTTTATTATAGCTTTATACTTTATGTTAGATTAAGTTACTATATTCGCATGGTAATACATATCCCACTTCAATTCTGTCGTTCATATTTCTCAAATTCGGCCGTATTGCTTATCGTGGTTGCAATCATATTGCTTATCGTGGTTGCATACAATGTTATCCTGATGTTATCAAGCATGATAATCGTCACGAGATTTACAGAAACGTGTATATTTACGCCGCACGCATGTGTAGAAATTCCCCTCTACTCACATCCTCAGTATAGGTTAAAGAGAACTAACCCCTCGTCATCAATTCTCACGCAATATGTGCCCGCGTCATGTGCCGTCATGTGCCCGCGTTATGTGCCGTCATGTGCCCGCGTCATGTGCTCGTCATGTGCCGTCATGTGCCCGCGTTATGTGCCGTCATGTGCCCGCGTCATGTGCTCGTCATGTGCCGTCATGTGCCGTCATGTGCCCGCGTCATGTGCTCGTCATGTGCCGTCATGTGCCG